CCAGCCTGGACTCCCTGCTCCCCAGAGAGACCTCTGCTGTCTGGCCAAGTGAGGCATCAAGCTCTGGGGCCCCAAACCCAGACACACAGTTCCTAGCTCCAGCCCTCCCTCAGACTTACTTCGTGGCTTTGAAGAATTTGCTTTATTGTTCTGGGCCTCAGTGACTTCAGCAGTGAAATGGGCAGACCTAGCTTTGCCCTGCCTGCTCCACTGCAAGGAAAGTCTGAAACTTGGTTAAGCATTTGTATCCCCTTTGAAATGATTATTCCCTTCCTCCAGATATGCCTCCCCAGTGATTGGGGAAGAGGACAGAACATGAAGCAAGGCAGCTCCCTTTTCCCCCTCCCCTCCAAATTCCCCTATCTCCTTAAAAAAATTATTTATTGGGCAGCTAGGTGGCGCAGTGGATAGAGCACTGGCCCTGGATTCAGGAGGACCTGAGTTCAAATCTGACCTCAGACATAACAATAGCTGTGTGACCTTGGGCAAGTCACTTAACCCCATGCCTAGCCCCCCCCCAAAAAAAGAAAAGAAAAAGAAAAAAAAGATTTATCCAAAAAGGTAGGCACCTAGTGGCTGGAACTCCCCTGGAGAGGCTCAACTGACCTCAGAAGCTCACCCCTGGGGCACCCAGAGATGGCTTCTCACAAGAAGTGGTGTTTCAAGGTAGGATGGAGACTCCACGTGGTAGGGAAAACCCTTAAAGGATGAAGATGGTGGTGCAGTGGATAGAGCCCTGGGCCTGGAGGCAGGAAGACTCATCTTCCTGAGTGAGAATCTGGCTTCAGACACTACTAGTTGTGTGACCCTGGGCAAGTCACTTCACCCTGGTGGACTCAGTTTCCCCATATGTAGAATGGGCTGGACAAAGAAATGTATCTTTGCCAAGAAAAGCCCAAATGGGGTCACAGAAGAGTCGGATATGACTCAAACAACTGAACAAGTGTGAGGGAGACCACAAAAAAAACAAAAATTTGGAGCAATGGGACTTGGGGGTCTAGTCCTGGCTCCGTTACTGTCTGCAGGACATTGAAAAAATCATTATTTTCCTCTAGGCTTCAGTTTCCTCATTTGAAAACTGAGGGATCAGAGCAAATGACCTCTAAGACACTGTTCAATTTAAAAACCGACGATCTTACTGTGCCGCCTCTATCTGCAGTTCCCACCATCGCCACAAGAGGCTGCCCCAAAGCTGCCCAGTTTCTCTGGGACCAGCCTTGACTGGCACTGTCCCCACCCCCCATAGCCTCTTATGGCAGTGAGCACAGGGTAGCTAGACCTCTCCTCACCACCTGACAGGATCTGCTTCCTTCTGGAGGGGCCCGATGGACGTCATTTCCCTCTCACAGGGCAGTGGGATGAGGGTAAAGGAAAACTTAGGCGTGATGAGTTTTCTCTCCGTGGAGATCTTTAATAGTTGAAGGACTAGTCAACTGAAGCAAAGATTCTATTATCACTTTACTTTGAAATAAATACTTCCACCCTATCCCTATCTCCTTCGTTTCGTGGATTTGAAAAATACATAGAGTCAACTGAAGGAGCTTGGTCCTTGAAGACATTCCTAAATTCAGGTCCTTCTAGTCAAGCAGGGGCTGGGCGGTCACTCATCAGGCGGAAGGCAGAAAAAAGAATTGGGTTGGAATAGATGGCTTTTGAAATGGCTTCACAACCCTGTGAAATTCTGTGATCCAAGTCAGAGGACCTGAGTTCAAATCCCATTCTGCTTCCTGTGTAGCCTTAGAGGAGTTACCTCCTCTCTCTGGGCCTGTTTCCTCACTTGCAAAATCAGGGGTTTGGATCAGATGGCCCCATTTATCTCTAAATTCCAGAGTCCTCGGCATCCCTTCTACATCACCTAGCCTTCAGACACCTCAGTCCCCTCCACGTGTAAAGAGGGATGGACCTAATGAGCCTTTCTACCTCAAGGTCTCCGGTGTCTCGGCAGCCCGCCAAGCAGACGCCTTTTCACCACCAGGAAACCCCCAAACGCTGTGGAGAGAATACCCAACCGTCCCTGTCTCCTTGTGCCCACGAGGAGGGCTCCTGGTCTCCCCTGCCCACCGCTTAAAACCTCACTCCTCTGCTCCCACGAAGGCCCTTGGATAAAGCCTGGAGATCCTGGTCAGTGGAAGGGGGCCTTCTCCACTTTTTTCCCTTATCCCAGCACAGGCTAGTTATCTAAGAAAAACACTTAGAACCCTAGATTGTTGCTTTTGGAGCACTTGAAAAAAAGCCCACACCTCTTAAAACAAACAACACAACTCACCTCTTCAAAAAACCTTCCTGAAGGGGCAGAGTTAATGGCTTCCTCCCATCCACCCAGTCCACCCTGGACTCCCATGGATTGCGCCCAGTTTCTTCTTGGGGTACACCCTTTCCCTCATCTCCCCACCCAGACTCTGTCCCAAAGACGTCTATGACCTCAATATTGGCTATTCCTGTTTCCAATTTACTTCTTGCCCAGCTTGGCACAAGTGGACAGACATCACTTTGACCTCTAACTCAACACACCTAAAACAGAGCTCAACCTCTGCTCCTTCCTTTTCCTGACTCACAGAATATTGGGGTAGAAGGGACTATGGAGGTCATCTAGTTTGACCTATACATGAGCAGGAACTAGGATATCAACAAGTGGTCATTAAACCTCCCCTTGAAGACCTCCAGTGATGGGGAACTCACTACAGCTTTTGGACAGCTCTTATTGTTAAGAAGGGGCAGGTGGGTGGTGGAGTAGATAAGAGTGCCATGTCCTGGAGTTAGGAAAACTCCTCTTCCTGAGTTCAAATTCTGACTCTGACACTTACTAGCTGTTTGATCCCGGGCAAGTCACTTAACCTTGTTTGCCTGAGTTTGTCTCATCTGTAATATGAGGTGAAGGAAATGGCAAACCATTCTGGTATCTTTGCGAAGAAAACCCCAAATGGGGTCACAGAGTCAGACATGACTGAAAAACGCCTGAACAACAAAATTGTTAGAAGTTTTTTCCTTATATTGAACCCTCACTTACTTCTCTTTAACTTTACCCCTGGTTCTCCTCCCAGGACAAACAGAATTAACCTGCTCCTTCTACCCTGGGACAATCCTAGTTTAAGGCAGGGATCACATCCCTCAATATATCATGTCTTCTCTAGGCTAACCATCCCAAGGGCCTTTGATCACTCCTGTCTCCTGGGCTTGTCTTCAGTCCTTGTTCACCAGTCTGGTCGCCCTCCTTCCAACATGCTTAAACTTGTTCACGTCCTGCCTAACATTCCATCCTGTGCTTCACTGCGTCCCTGTGGTTCCCTCCCTCATCTGGACTATTGCAACAGCTTCCTCACCCTTTCTCCCTGCCTTCAGTCTCTCCTTCAATCCCTCCTGTACACACTGGAAAGCTAACTAATCCTTTTTAAACACAGGGATAATCTGTCACTTCCTTGTCAATGGCTCCCCGTGACCTAAAAGTTAGCCAGAAAATTTTTAGGGACAAAAGGGACCCAGACCACTAGCAGACAGAGACAGACAGAACACACACACACACACACACACACACACACACAAACACACACACACACACACACACACACGAACGAAGCCTCTTGACAACCACCCTAGGACTAAGGCATCTCGTTTCTGCTCAAATATTTCCAGTGACGGGGAGCTTACTGCCTCATAAGGCAGCTCATAAAAAGATTCTTAGAACTTATTACTGGAAGAGACCTAAAAGGTCACATGGTCCCATCCCTCCATGTTACCGATGAGGGAACTGTGGCAGACAGAAATGAAGGGATTTACTCAAGGTCATCCAGGTAAGAGCATTACACTTTCAACTAGGCTGACAATTTAAAGTCAGGCTCATCGCTGGCTTTGACCTTCTTTTCTGGCCTCTGCTCCAGTCAAACCAGCTTTGCCATGTCCTCTAAGGAGAGTATGGTTTACATTCTCTTGCCTCCCACATTTTGCTCTCACTGGGATCTCAAATGTCCTACCCTTCACATCTACTAGGCTAGATCACAGCCTTCCTTCCTGTCCTCGAGGTATCTACTCCACAGCTTTCCCAGATGATCACGTCCTTCTCCTGAATGCCTACAGGCAAGGACTGTATGTAGACATTAATCTGGCACTTCATTATGTACTTCCTTGGGGCCTGTTGGCCCAAACTAGGCTGTAAGCCCCCAGGGAGCAGGAAACTGGTTTCTGTAGTCTTCCTAGGGCCCAATTATCCCACAGATCTTTTAGTTGACCGAATCCTTAAGGGTATGTCCTGCGGTAGAATGCTCAGTCCTGAACCAGATATGTAACTAGAATCATTGCTCCTGACTCAGGCTGGCTCTCCAGCCACCGTGCTATCTGGCCTTGTGCCTCACGAAGAGGCACAAATTGGAAGGCCCAGTCTCAGGAGGCAGTGAACTCCCTGCCAGTGGCAGCATTCAGGCAGACGCTAGACGACCCCCTGGAGATGTTACAGAGAAGACAATTCAGATCCTGTTATCTTCTAGAAAACACAAGGACCAGGTCTTTAAAGTCCTGCCCTCTCCCCTGCACATGTGACCAGGTAAGGAGGAGCTAACCCCTTCCCCTCTCCCAGACTGTGACTTCAGCCCCCCCAGGCAGGGCTAGAGCTAGGAGAATATGGGGGCCAGGGGCATCCTCTGTTTTTAAGAATGACCAGGGGCAGCTAGGTGGTGCAGTGGATAGAACACCGGCCCTGAAGTCAGAAGGACCTGAGTTCAAATCCAGCCTCAGACCAAACACTTGACACTTACTAGCTGTGTGACCCTGGGCAAGTCACTTAACCCCAATTGCCTTAAAAAAAATGACTGCAAGGTACCCCAAGGGATTCCTTTGCAAGCCTCACCCTTCCTGGAAAACGAGGAGACTGCTCTGGTGGGCCAGGGCTCTGGCGGGCCAGGCCTCTGGCTCCAAGCCTAGGAGAAAAGGGCTCAGGCCCTTGAGGATCTTTAGAGGGAGATGGGTTGTAGGACTCAGAATCAAACAAGGGAAAAGGACTGGGCACAGACTAGAGTCAAGCCTCTTTATTGGCCCTGCACTCAGCTGCCCTTCAGAGGGGTAGGTCACAGTAGGCTAGATCTGCTTGGCAAAGGGATGGAGGGGCCAGGCCCCAATCACCTAACATTAAGTGAGAAGGGGTGACTAAACAGAGAGGTGCCACAGTGAGGAAATATCCCGAGGGCATGCCCTTCCAGGAGAGGCTTACAAGGACTGGTCAGTGTGGCACTGGGCACAGTGACACATAGCCCTTTGGATTTCCCACTGTAGTTCTGTCCCCTAGTTCACACCAGGATTACAGGGAGGAAATATTAGCCTGCAGAAGTAGGGCCTCCTGCTTGGGCCAGGAATTGTTAGCATTTGTCTCCTTCCATGGTAAAACAGGGGAGAAGTAGGGGCAGCCAACCATCCTCTATCTTAAGCGAGAGGGCAAGGCCCTGAGCAAGTGAAGGGACCTGAGCAGAAGGGCCATGCCTCTTAGGAGGGGGTGGAAGCAGGGCACCTGCCCCTCCACCTCTTGGCTCTCATGGCAGTCATTAGCCCAACCCTTCCAATTATACACAGTTTATTACCTGCTCCTGGCAGAGAAGGGGAACCAGAGGTTAGAGGGTGGGTGGCGGTGAGGGCAAACCAGGGCCCCTCATTCCCAAAGCCAGGCCCTGCCCTACTGCCTTTGGTGGGCCATCTTGGCGAACACTGGGCCTTAGCTAGGTGGCCCTTCTGCCCCTCCCCTGAGACAGAGATCTGGAGCTATGTGGAGGGGATGGGGGAGACAGGGATGAGAAGGAAAGGCCTGGAAAGCCTGTGGTGGGGCACAGGCAGGCTGTGTCAGGCTCAGTGGGAAAGATCAGGAAGGGGAGGGAAGGATTCTGGCCTTGGGAGGAGAACCAGCCCCCTTCCCTGACAGCATCCTGAAAGATCCCACAAAGTGAGAAGAGGTCAGCTGCTCCATCCTGGGGAGTGGGGAGAAGAAGAAGGGCCCTGGCTGACTAAAACAGAACTAAGAGTAACTGGCCCCTTCCGGGGTGGTCATCTCAGTCTCTTGAGTTTGGGCTGCTAAGAACCGTGGCTCCAAGTTCCCAGGCAGGCTCCGGTACTTTGGGGAGGGAGTGGTATCTGCAACCAAAGGAGGTAGGAGTCTAGGCCCAGCAGCCAGCTCTGGGAGGGTGGGGCAGGGAGTGTGTGTGTGTATGTCAGGCCCAGTTTCCTTCCAACTGGAGCCAGGTTTAGGGTGCAGCCATCACCGCAGGTTGAAGACAAAGGCAGTAGTGATGATGATGCCCAAGAGGAGGACAAAGGGAAGCCAGGTCTTCACAAATGCCCCAACACTGTAGTAGAGACAGAGAAGGGAAAAAGAATGATGGATCGGGATAATAAAGACAGGCTGAAGCAGGCCCCAAATCGGTTTGATCTCGGGGTTCTGTCTAGCCCTTTTAGACTTGTGATGAAGGAAGAAGGCTGGTCACAGTAGGGGAAGTGAGACAAAGGAGACCTGTGGAATTCAACACCCTCCCTGACCCACCCCCCACCACTCACATAGCTCACACCTGTCCCAGACACCAGCCTAGCCAGTGTCTGCACATTGCACTGGGGTTTAGCTTCCACAGGGAAGAACCAGTGTGCACCCAAGTTCTGAGCTGTTACGGGGGCAATCCAACAAAAAGTTCTTAGGTGCCTACTAGGGTCCAGGTTCTGGTTCGGCCGAGGCCTCGATGTGTGAGCTAGGCAGGCACAGTTACCCTCTCTGGGCCTTTGGGCCTCCTGCTGTTGGAACTGGAGACTCTAAGAAGGGTCTCCAATAAAGACACAAGGAAGCACACACCCCAACAGACAGGTATATACAGTAAGCAAGGGCGAGTGTGTGCACATAAAAGTGTATGCACGCTCAAGCACACTCTGGTACACAAGACACGCTTCCTTTCCTCAGCTCAGAGGCTGGCTTGGCTGGATTGGGAGCTAGGGAGCCAGGGAGCTAGGTTTCCTGAGTATCACCCTCAGGGCCTAGCACAAGGCTTGTAGATGCCACTGGCTGACATTCATGAGTGAGCCCCACCCCCTCCTGCCCAGTACTCTCCTTCTGATGACACCAGGGGATGCTGGCCTTACCTGAGAGGGCAGTGACCGCCGCCCCCCCCAACCCCTGCGCTCCCTCAGTGACCATTAGACACGTCATACAGGAATGGATCTAAGCTCTGCCAGCCTTACCACCTTGGCAGGGCAAGCAGGGACAAGGCGGTGCAGTGGAAAGTTGATCCCATCTGGAATTCCAAGACCCTGGACGAGGCCCTTCCTCTCTCCGACCCTCCATATCCTCATACTTGAGGGCTGTGAAGTGCTGAACAAACATGAGCTCTCACTATCAGGAACACATCTGCACAACTCGCTTCACACATTAACCACCTCCTGTGCACCAGCTGCAATGGAATCAAAGACAACATTTGCCAGATTTCTGAAGACCTGTCTGAGCTCTAGCTCCCAGACAGCCAAATAAAGCCCCTTCTCTGTTGCCTTGGGTGATGCTGCATCTTAGGAGCGCTTCTGGGGGCTTGGAAATCCTCAAGAGCTAACAATTCCCTTGTCCAGGGTCACACCAAACTCGTGAGGGCAGAGGCAGGGTTCACATTCGGCTCTTGGAATTCCAGATGGGATCAACTTTCCACTGCACCGCCTTGTCCCTGCTTGCCCTGCCAAGGTGGTAAGGCTGGCAGAGCTCAGATCCATTCCTGTATGACGTGTCTAATGGTCACTGAGGGAGCCCAGGGGCGGTCACTGCCCTCTCAGGTAAGGCCAGCAACCCCTGGTGTCATCAGAGGGAAAGTATATGTCTTCATCATGGCACTTTCCTTGACACAGCCCTGAGAAGACAGAAACAGAAGTCTCACTGCCCTTTCTTTATGAACAAGGACACAAAGGGGAAGTGATTTCCCAAGGTCACTCAGCTAATTCTAATCATACTAATTGTTTACCAACAGCTCAGGCACAACCAGAATTTACAGAGCCTTCCCACACCCTATCCCATAGCTGAGAGGCCTTCTGCCCTGGAGGCTCGGGCAGAGGCTCTGCCCACAGGTACACCCCGAGAGTGCCTGGCCCAAACTCACCTGACATACTTCCCGTAAATCAGGCAAAAGAAGCAGACCTTCACCATGTTCCAGTGGGAGCTGTTGTTGTAACGCATCAGATTCAGGGCCAGGGCCACATGGGAGTGGCAATTATCACAGCAGAGGTTATGCTGCAGGAATGAGGGACAGCAGGCATTAGGTGCCAGCCTTGCGGATGCATAGGGAGTCCAAGCTGCCACCGCTCCCCTCCCGCCCCACCTACCATGCGATGTTTATATTCCTCGGATGCCTCGTGGACCGCAGTATCCCAGGCGTTCGGCCGGCTGGCGTGTACTTTGGAGGGGTCCAACTTCCAGTACCTGAGGGGAGAAGGAGCCATGGGGCCCCAGTGTCTCAAAGGCTGATTTTATCTCTTCTCCACTCTGCCCAGCTCAGGGCTTGCACCTGGGATTGGGTTTTTGAGAGAAGAGCATCCCTGCCTCACCTGCCCCTCCAAAGGCCAGTGTGAATCAGGACAGGCCCAATGCCATGACTCTGGCCCAAAGGAGGTGGCGGACTAAGGCCCCTGCCCACCCTTTAGTGACTACAGCTGGGTGGGGGACACATACTCCCTGGACTGGGCTGCTACACTAATTCTCTCCCAAGGAACCCTAGAACCTCCATTCTAAGTCCATAGTCCAGCCTGATCCCTTTCCAAAGCCAGGTCAGCTTCACTTGGGGGCAGGTAAGCCACACTGGGCCCTAGCACTGAAGAGCATGACATAATCCTATGGCTCCCACTGTTGGGGACAGGACCTTATTTGTAAATAGCGTACCTCGGGATGGCACGTTCCATGGAATCTACCGTAAGGGAGGTCAGCTATGGAGAACTGAGAACACTAATGCAAACCCCGCACGGGCACTGAAGCTGGTTTTGTCACCTCTGGACAGATCCTCTTTGCTACAGATTCCAGACTCCTCCCGGGAGCTCTGAGAGCACAGCCCTCACTGACCTGCTCGCCTTGCCTGCCCACTTCTAGCTATTTCCATGGAGTTCCTTCCTCTCAAGCTTAGTAAAGCCATGGGTAGAAAGAGCACTTCCCCTGATGAATAAGGGAAGTGAAAGTTAACCCAGGGACCAGAGAAACAGCAGAGCTCCAGGGGAGGCCTCTAGCATGGCTGCAGGTGGGGAATGGAGGCTGCTGCTGCTGCTGCTACAGACTCGACCCACTGCTTGGGGCGGGGGGGGGGGGGGGGGG